GCAGGTGTCTGCAAGGCTCCCCTGTTAAAGGTCTGTGTGCGCTGTCCCTGGCCCCCTGACCCTGCAATCTAAAACATTGCACTTTCAGAGAAACTGCAATGTTTATATTGCAGGGTTAAGACTGTTTCTAGTGGCTGTCTACCAGACAGACACTAGACACGCTTCCTCCATTTACGCGGTGCGCATATTAGATTCTCCCTGGGCGCTGATGTCGGAGGAGGAATCAGCGCCAAGGAACATCATTTAAATGTATAAAGGATTTTTTACTATTTTAAATGCAGCTGGGGGGGGTGGGGTGCAAAGGGAGACTAAAGTGGTAGGAATACAGCTTTGTATGCATCACACTATAGTGTTCCTTTAAGTGGACTGCACAGGGCCATGACTGGTAACGTAACTGCACTGTACAGGGAGTGAAGCAGGGGAGACCATTGAGACAAACAATCGAATTCAAACACTGTCTGATCCAGGATGTGTATATATATAGCGCTGACTGATCTTGGCATATACTAAAGGTAGGGAAGAGTTGCTTCTCATTTTTTATGCATAATTTATTTTACAAAAATCTTTTTCCTTTCAATACTTGATGAAAGGATTATTATATTAAAAAGTATTTTTGAAGTTTGTCTTTTAAAGAATATCACACAAGATGGACTGAGTATTAAAGGTGTTGATTAGGAGTATATTAGCTCTTTGTGAAATACCCTTTCTCTCGCTTATTGGAACACTCAGAAGGGCCCACCACAACTCCAGATAAAAGGATTGGTAACATTTAAAGTGAAGGGATATACATACAGAGCGTGCTATTTCTGTTAGATTACAAGTGGTTAAGTTTCCAATGTTATTACTGTAATTATATTTTATGGAAGTTTGTTCAGCCTCATTAAATAAATACTTTTGATTGTAGAAGGCAAGGAGTATAATGTCTGGTTTTATACATTGTATCAGTGGCGGAGCTAATGTAACGAAGGCCCTGGTGGAAGAAACGTTTTTGGCCTTCCGCCGTTGCTCAGTATTTAAGATTTTTAATTTAATTTATAGAAATTGTTGGGAATAATGTCATAATTTAGATAAATTATATTAAAAGATCAATGCTAGATGGTGTAGGATTTTGTTTATCACAATGTCTTTAATTGTGTCATTTCTATTTAGAAATTGTTATTCTAAGACTCAGAATAGTTCAAAGTATATAACACTCTCTAATCTAATCTACTTTTAAGATTAAAAGTAATTTTTTAAGCAAATATCTCAAATATCTTTTCTATTCATTTTTTTTTTTTTGCAATGATTACTTCCTGCTAAAGCTCCTGCTCAAAAGTTATATAGTCTAGTGTGCGAAATAAACAACACTTCCGTTATCTGTAATTTCATGCATGGAGTAGGTGGCCTGGCTAATGTACATGCTGCTGTACATTTTTTACATATTGGTTTGTTTACTCAAGGTTCAATTTGTACATCTTATACATCTTGTACATCTGTATATATTGCCTTCTAAAATCAACTGATGTCTTTAGGGCACACTGCTGGTTTTGAGCACAAATGGTAATCTGGAAGTGAGGTATGGGTGCAACTGCAGGACTCCAAACAGTCCCAATGTCAGCGAGACAGTCCCTGTTTTCGGATACCAAACTGAATTTGTTCCTTTGTGTCCCGATTTGGGGACAACAGGAAACTGTTCCCAAAAAGTACAGCGTGAACAAGGGGCACTATGGACAAAGTCCCCCCTCCCTCCATTTGCAATATAATCTGCAAACTAAAGCTTTAACACACCTTGCTCACAGGGGCGGCGCATAGTCCAATCACAGGCTTCTCACAGAGAAGTCTGTAATTGGACCATTTAGCTGGCTCAGAATGCATGTGTGCATTCTGAAGAGGGAGGGTTTAAAAACATGTTGAGGGGTAGTCTTCCCCTTGAAGGTGCACTGCCTGTTTGTTGGCAGTGTGCAGTGTGCGCTAACGACAGACATTTTTATGCACATTATTGACATGGGCAGCCCAGAACAGATTTATGAGCTGCCAATGTCACATGTGCTGGGGGTGCAACAAGCCCCCAGAAAAATTAACAATACCTCTGTATGTGCATAGTTTCAAGCAGAAAGACTGCGCATACATACACCTATAACCAAGACCACTTCAAATCACTGAAGTGGTCATGGTGGTTGGAGTAACCTTTTAACTTGGTAGAAGCTATGGTAACTGAGTTCCAGAGTATTTAAAGTCACATTTAACTTAAATGCAACATCGCTGCCTTGAGATTTAGTTATCTATCTCTTAAATTCAACTAAAATAACCTTGTAAATATGCTTAATGTAGTGTTATTTTTGCTAAAGCACATTATTCCTCAGGGTGATCACATCTTATCCACAGTAACAAATTCACATTATCTGCTCAATGAAACACACCTGTTATGTTTCACTCACCATGTTTGCATTTTGTCTGTCTGTTCGCTTGTGAGTAAGGTGTCTACATGTGATTGCATCATAATTGCTGTCAGTATTCTATTAAATAGGAATCTTCATGTTCACTTCACTTCCTTGAATTTAATTTGTGTAAAAATTCCACAATTTGATTTTCAAAGCAGTCCCGTGTAGTACCAGAGTGCAATAATTGTACAGTACATAATCACAGGTGCAAAACAAAAATTATTGTCACAAAGCTCAAACGTACACTAAAGGGGCAGTAAAAAGCTTTAATACAATAAGTATATTTTTTCAAAGTGTTAGAAATTTGAGCCATTTTGATTTGCATCCCTGCCATTGTGCCAGTGGCCATTGTGGCATTGTGAAAAGACAAAAATAAATCTTAATGCTTATTTACTAAACTGGAAATTGAGCAGGGCATTGCACATTGTAGGCCAATTTGGAAACATTTTTACGATAGCCGTTTTGGCTTACAAACTGCAATTTTAAACAAAAAACTCAGTAAAGTGGATTAAGCCATTACATATTGAATAAATATAACGTCTACCTCAGTGATGTGGCATACTTTAATTTTGAGACACACTGATCTTTGAACACTGTTTATAACTATGAGAAGCAATTGAGTTGGCTTATTTTGCCTCCTTAAAGACCAATGATGGTATAACCTAATTGCAATAGTCTAGTCTATATATATCTCAAACTGTGGTGCGGGGCTTTTCTCATTGTCTGAGAGTGCTCAGATGACACTCTCAGACAATGTGATTGTCCTGCACAGAGGAACTTAGCTCACTGGATCCAACAGATGTTCCTTGACACAACTGGTGCCTAGCAGACACTAGGTAAGCTGTCAAGCTATTAATAAGTGTAAAAACACAGTGGTTCCCAAGCATTAGAAGACTTAATATACTAAGACTTACATGCTTACCGAAACATCTTAGTTCAGCTAGGGTTCCCCTTTTACTTAACAATGATTGGGAGACACCATGGTTATGTTATTAGTAGAGAATAGAGGAAGTAGTTTTAGTCTGTCTGATGGCCATGCATATTGAGATTGGAGGAAAAACCCCAAATCACAGGGTTATACTCTGAGAGTTCCCATCTATGCCAATCACAGTAACTATAAACACTCCATAAGTGACTCAGCTCCATCACGTTCTGCTATTTTTTTTTTGGGAGAGATGCACACTCTTGCAATTGTGATTTCATATCACTGTTCCCTTTTTTTTTTATTTCGCTGCATAGTCATTATCTTCGTGCAAAGACCAAGCCACACAAACCACCACTTCGAAGAAGACATATATAGAAGCACCAGGGCTATTGCACTCTAGCCTCAGATGTTCTGTATTGTTATGTAGCTGTTTGTGAGTAACCGGCAGACGGTAGTGGTGCATTTTGTAACGTAACCACAGGAAGCCAAACTGAGCACAAGCTCATATATCTGAGAATAAAATCCCTGTCTTACATTACAGACTTGCTCAAGACAAATTACAGCCGTATTACCAAACAGGCACATCCATCACATCACAAAAATTATAGTATTTAAAATTAATAATGTTCACTCTACCAATCACATCTGTTACCTGAAAGGTATACCTGAAACAAAGAAATTGATAATACAGCAGTATCCACATCTCCTAGTTTTTGATACCCTTTTCTCCACTTTCCCTCCCTTCCCCCTCCCCTATTCTGTATCATCCCCTACTTTTTTTCACATCCAAGTTATTGCTAAAACGTTCACACTGCATCTCTATCATCTTCCCTTGTCTGTAAAACCAGTGTTGTTTATTTTGTTTACCCCAAGTTATTTGACTATCAATTTATTTATATGACATTGTTTTAATACACATCTACTCTGTACACTGTGTATTGATGGTGCCAACAGATGATTTTTTTTTGACTATCACGTTCTTTTTTGTTAAACCTTATATATCTAATTAAAGATTGTCAAAAGAGAATGTTAATATTAACTTTTAATGCAGTGCATATATTATTAGATTCATTAAAGTCACATGATCTTCTAGCATGACATATGAGTCCCGAAAAGGCGTACTGATCATCTGAACACATTGTTCTGTCACATTGTGCTGTGGATGCTATTATTAAATGCAGTGTGTGCACTTATTTAAATGTGTGGGCTTATGTACGGGCATTGCAAAAGGATGGGCCCTTCAATCTCAGATCACCTGTTAAAATTAGTTCCATGAGCAGAACTCACTACAAAAAACAAGCAACAATCACCAAGCTTTATTGATGATTTCCCGTAAATCTAGTAATGCAAACACATTACAAATAAGCACTGTAACATGAAGATAACGCAGAAAACAATGAAAACACAACACATACACACAAACACTATACTCAAAATGCCCGGTGCTTAAAAGCATACAAATATTAAATGCAACAGTACAGACAACTATGAGATTTTTAGATGCATGCCAACTGAGCAATAATGGTCACATCATTTAAAGATGTTGAAATTCCTTTTGCCATTGTCCTGAAAGTGGGCATAATGTTCCCATGTACTTACCCACACATGTACTTCCTGAAAACTTTATAAACAGGAGATTGCTTTAAAGCAAAGCAGGAAATACAGAGGGTGAGGGCAATTTGCTGTACCTAGGCATGATGAAAAACAGGACACAAAATGTTAAATATTTTATGTTTTGTTTTGGTAGGGAAACTTTGTGATCCTTCAAGCCCTGCTCTTTTCCCAGATATGATTGGTATTAGAAAATAGAAAAAGTAGCCTAGTTAATGGCACTTATCAGGCTTTAATCATCATGCTGGACATACTTGTAGACAGGATTATTTTAAGCAAAGCATCTGGATAGAATGTGTCTTTGTGTGTATCTATTCCATCTTGGATTTATCCTGGCTGTGGGATTTTGAGATTCTGCAATTGCTTTTGAAGATGGTTGTTTCATGTGGGACACTTCTTGACAATTTCGGAGGTCCAAGTATCCCTATTTTGGAGAGAAAGTCCTTGTTGGACCTAAATCCCCCTGACCTTCTTTTCTTTCCTAATTTTCTACTTTTCTTTTGTAATGAGCTCAGTATTCTTGGTGTGTCTGAATTTATACCAGAGCTTTGAATCAATAATACTCACAGTAATAAGTCTTTAAACTTTAAGAAATGTCTTTTAACAGTAAGGTAAATTGTTCTTAATCTAAATTACATTTTAGTTGCATTGAGTAAGTGATCATCTCCCCACTCTCACCCGTAAAATGAAAGTGTCACTTTATCCATTTGAAATAGTGGGGGGTATGCGGTTATACCATCTAAACGTTCTTCCTATTTGCTCTATCCCATATTGGTGATCTTCAGAACCAAAATGTAAATTGCTAAAGTTGTACCAGTAAAAATATTGTCAAATGTGAGCTGGTGAAATAAAGGACAACTGAAGCACCACCTCAGGCAGTTGGGTATTCTGTACAAATTCCAAATTCATTTTTTGGCAAGCTCCAATCTAAATTTCTGTGGGATGAAGGAACGAGCAGGTGGCAAGTGGGCAATGGGTACCCCAAGCCTGTTGTTATAATTCTATGCACTGCAAAAAAAAAAAAACGTTGATTCCAAATTAGGCAGATTTTGCATTATATGAAGTTATAACGGATAGAAGGGCCCAGTGTAACTGGGCAGAACTAAGCATGTAGTAATATCTGTTTTGTTTCACCTTTTACAGATTTTATCTTTTATACGAGAGTTGATGCATAAATGGGAAAGAGACAGAAAAATTTGTAATTGGGTGACTTTGGGCCACTGGAAGGTAAAGTGGAGAAACCATAGAAGCTGTCCACGTGTTTTGATATATACTTCATACATTAGTGGCTCTGGCATTGATGTGTACCATGATTATTTATTTACATCTATACACTTGTCTATTACAATTATCATGTGACTTTATTGCTTTCACGTGATCATACTGCAGTGTTCTGTTTTGTTTGTAGCCAATGCACTTTTTTAGTTAGGGGACAGCAAAAAACACTGTCTTTATCAACTTTTGTGAATCAGATCTTTGTCCATAAGGCAAAGTAATACCTATTCTGTCTTATGACAGCTATCAATTTCACAGGAATGTCAGTGAAACTCCAATGCAGTCAACATGAGTATTTCATAATTAGGACATACTCAACAAATTGGTCAGAGGTGACAGAGCCACATTAAATGGTCTATATATCATTAAACTAATCACGCTTTTCCGTAAACTCATAGAGGTGTACCACATATAACCATATTTGCAAGGAACCTGGTCTCCTCGGAAATAGTACACTCATCTCTTACATACAATTCACTATTGGGGGGGGGGTTGGAGCTATTTTGGCCCTTGTATTGTTTTTAGTTCACCACAATTTACTGTTTAATGAATAAACCAATCAATATCATTATAACATTTGTGCTTCAGGCCAAAGGGATAACAAACCAACCACTGAAATTGAGAGAATAAATGAGAAACTAGTATGTTATCAAAACAATCAAGGAACTAAATAAGAAAAACAACAAACTAGGAAGGGCATTCCTATTAGGGAGTGAAAGGGTAATAAATATTTTTGTAATGTACAAGAAAAAAACCTGACATTATTCACACGAACTTTCTTTTTTTCACTAGCTCATAGCTTTTAAGGTTTGCTAGCAAATGTGCCTCTGACCTTATTTAGCAACTAACTTTAAAATAAAAAATGCAAAACCATATGCAGATTTGTTTATAAAATGTATTCATACTACACCATATATAGCTATAAATACCCAGACTGATAATTTCAATATATATATATATATAAAAAAAAATTCTCAAACTGTATCTCGTTTTATTATTATTTTTTTTCAACATGTCCAATAAATAAAATTTTTGGTTTGGAATAGAATGTGCCATTTTATCTTATGATTTTCTTTATTCCTGAAACACAGTAAGACTCAGCCACTTTTATTACTGGCATCTAACCAATAATACATTTTTATCATCTAGCTGACTTTTGCTATCATTTCACACAGCAGAGATCAAAGTAAATAAATAAATAAATAACACACAGACACATTTTGATAAAGAATGCAAGTAAGTGAAAAATAAAAATGAGATGAATCCCATCTAAATCGATGAGTATTAAAATCTGTAAATAGAATATACACAGCAATTTCACAGAATATCACAATGAATTTCATCACTCTACAATGCATTTTTTAAAGTTAGAGGGCATATCGACACATTTATAATTTACACATCCATAAAACACTAAAAGTATAAAAAAAAGTTTTTATACTTTTACATATCATATTAATTTTACATCCAGTTTATTTTGGCTTCACTCATATTACCACTTACAAAGTACACAATCACTTTGCTTTTAATCTAATTTTATATTGTGATTTGGTTTTGTAGATCCTCATCGAACGAGTGTTTATCTAACAGATTTTGCACGTTTGGAACTATTTGTTATATTCATACCTGATAACTTTACAAGCATTCAATTATGTTAATCAGTGTTACAAATAGAGAGATGTTCTGCTATGTAGCAGTATCAGGTATTTTTTTTATGTCTCAATGTTGGGCTACAGCCAAGTGTGTTATATCTTTGGGCCATGATTGTGTAATAGTTACATTTACGTTTTTTTCTCATTTCCTATTCAAACCGTCTGATTCATGATTACAGGAGGTTTTTTTTATTATATGAAATTAATAGGTAAACATGTTATTGTTCAAGTGTTAAATATAGTAGTTATGGGGATGATTCAAATATGTTAAAAGGTGCCCAGGATTTAAATGAATTATAATCCATTACCAACTACTAAAGTTAATTGTGTACAAACCGCATAGTGATGACAGGTAAGGTTTGCCACATTTATTTACTTGAAGTCAAATATAAATGGTCTCTACTAATTTAGAAATTATATTGTTAAGGCAGACTGGCAATTTCTAGACCAGTCAAGATTCAATCATACAGACCAGTGATAGAGCACCATAGTAAGAACCTCAAAGGAACACTCCATGCATCGTGTTCAATACAGCGCTCCACAGTGGTTATGGTACCAGGAGTGTCTGATACCTCTCAGTCAAACTGTTTTAGAATCGTTTTACTTCTTACATCTGGTCTTACATCTGGTCTGCTGGGCACTGCTTGCTGCCTACACTGCAGCCTCCAAATCAGCCAGAAGCTACGCCTGGCTGATCAAGACTTTGTTGATTGGCTGAGAGTGATAGGCTGATACATTCAGCCAATGAGCTAGCCCTGCACCAATGACTTAGCTCAGAAGAGCTAACGGAAGCTATCAGAGGCACAGATCCTGTAATTGCAAACTCCATATCCCCCAGAACGACTATACTTTGTAGCCAAAAAGTACATATGATCTATGTATTTGCTTTTGTAACTTCAAGTCTAAAATTGTACATGCAGTTTGCACACGTGCCTGCCAGTGCATGTGGATATCGGCAGATATTATATCACAATGGAATGTTTCAGTGTGCAAACACTATTTCAAAAGTGTCATAAACATGGCATTCACAACAACAACAAAAAAGAGTCACTGCTCTTGTATTGGTTCAATCTCTCACCAGCACACACAATAGTCCATACACAATGTATTAGTTAGTCATGCAGAACACATTGGGGGGATTTTTACCAAGATGTCTGTTCTAAAAAGTGGTACAAAAATTTAAAAGGGGAGGATGGAATGGAATGTGTCTGCTGGGTCCACTGGTTTCCATGGTGACTGCATCACATTCAGTACTTTGGACCACTCTTTAGAAGAGAACAATTTAATAAATCTTCCCATGTATTCATGTTCCAAGTATCATATAACTGTATTCTATGACTAGAGACATATACATTGTTGGTCAGGCATATATTTATACATTTATAATATACTTCATGATCAGATTAAATTAACAGAATTTATTAAGCACTCGTTTTAGAACATTCCAGGACTCTCCTATACTATTTAAAAATATGCAAGGCACTCTTGTATACTGTCGAATGTTGTTTTAAAGGGTGTGCCACTCTTCAATTCGAGTGTGTAACCCCAGATAAAATAACTGAAGTGTTTAAAGCTAGATCACTGTGATTAGTCAGTGCCATACAGGCAGGGCTGATGTGAGTTTCTCTGACATTCTTCTGCCTTGCGACCCATCCTTTCTTACAGAAAATGAGCACGCAGCAAAGCCAAATGTATGTGAAATAATTATAGCCATAGAGTGTTAAGTAATTTAAGTTGATCATGCTATTGCTCCATTCTTACCACACGGTTTCCTCATTTTATACAACAGTCATACTTCAAACATCTTCTGCTTGAAAAACTTACACATCTGTGTCCCATTGCCTTGAGAAGTCCTCTCCCTTAATCTGCAGGAAGTATCTATTTTTAAAATACAGAAAAGAAAGAAAAAAAAAGTTATTTTTTTTACCTGACAAATAGTTCTATTTCATTATCTCTTACTGCATTATTTGTGCCCGTCTCTTCTGCTTTTGGAAGGAAACGGGCTGCTATACTCTATCCCATGTGTTCTAGTAGGCCTTCAAATTAATAAAGGTATGAAACTTCCTGACATGCTGGTTTTGGGTGTTTACAATACATTTATTTTACCCTGAATCCAGCATAGATTAGTATGGGAATTTGTTGGACTGTGTCCAGCACAGATCTGGGGATATCTTATCTCTTTCTTTACGTGTAGGCCTTTACTTTTATCAATCCATCTTATGTATCTGTCAGGTTCGATGATACTCTGCCCAGTCATGGGAAGAATAATTCACCATAGAAAAAAAAAATTGTTATTTTACACAACTTTCATCATTGGCGATGTCTATAATGGGCAGGGCTGCTCGAAAAGGTTACAGGTCTGCTCACCAAAGGGTCGTATCAGCCGAGCATTGGTGGACGCAATGTAGACTTACAGCCTGTTAGCTACCTCCACTCACAAAGCACATACAAAGAGCATTATTGAGTTGTTCTTTGCATGATCCTAGTGGCCTCAGCACAGTATGAGAGCGTCTAATGATGCACTTGTGCTGTGCTGCCTGGAGACAGTCCCATGGTGTCCCTGGATGCAAGACATG